ATCGAGACCATCCTGGCCAACATGGTAAAACCCCATCTCAACTAAAAATACAAAAATTTGCTAGGCGTGGTGGTGGATGCCTGTAGTCCCAGCTACTTGGGAGGCTGAGGCAGGAGAATCACTTGAACCCAGGAGGCAGAGGTTGCGGTGAGCCGAGATTGCGCCACTGCACTCCAGCTTGGGCGACAGAGCAAGACTCCGTCTCAAAAACAAAACAAAACATAAACAAAAACAAACAAAAAAAACACTAGCACTATATTAAAGAAAATATACAAGCTGTCATCAAACAACAACAAAATAAGCTATGGGAACTGAGAGGATAGAAAAACTACTTCTTTGTAGGAGGTGGAAAGGTTTCATGGAAGAGACGACATTCGATTGTGCCTGGATGCCCAGGGAAGCATTACCAGACAGAAACCTCCTCAGACAGGAAATCAAGACTGACTTTATCCACAAGTACAGACATGCCACCTACAATCTTAGCATCCGATGATCCTAAATGCCTTTCAAATAACTCTTCTAAAAGATAAAAGCAGACTAAAACATTTTGCTTCCTTGTTACACAATCATAAGCCGTGCAGAAAACTGTTAAGATAATTTTCTCAATGAGAATTGTATTTTTATAACCAGAGGGAATACACATCAAATTTTTAAATGTCTATATTGTTTCCCAGACAATTCTAATTGCCGTAACTTTCCAGTGAAACTGAAGATTTCTTGAGGGCAAAGCCCAGTGTTATTTCTCTGTGTCCCTCACCTTGCCACACATTCATTGTATGAATATAGAAAAACAAAAAAAGACTTACCGAAAAAGTGTTACATTAAAAAGTGCGAACAGGTCACTCCCAGATCTTAAATCACTTATGTTTCCCAGCACACACCATGCATTTCCACAGTGTGCCATGTGTTGATACTATTCTCCTTCTTGGAATGTCCTTGAATCCGAAATTCCATTCCCAGCTCCTAAAAATATTTCGTACAAGGCCTAGCTCAAATGTGACCTTTTCTTTGAGGCACTACTTGACTTGTCCATGAAGAATGAATTCTTTCTTCCTCTCCAGGTACTCTGGACATATTCCTCCTATAGTATTCTCACTACAGAAAAATGATGCTGACGTGTGTGTGTGTGTGTGTGTGTGTGAGAGAGAGAGAGAGAGAGAAACACCTACCAGAATGTAAATGCCATGTGGGTAGTGTATGGGTCTTTTTCTGTATGCCCAGCACATAGGATGAATCTTATATAACAAGTGTTATACAGTAATGTACCAAATAAACATTTGTTGAATTAAACCAAATAAACAGAAAACAAAGGAAAAAAAAAAAAAAAAAGCAGAACCACCACTATGATCATTTACTTCTCCTGAAATATTAGAGTTCCTGAACTAAGACATTTGCAACAAGACTACTTCAGGTTCAGTCATTAGGTTGTGCCCTTGAAGGTTTGAAGGTATATTCTCATCAACCACTAATTTGTTAATAAATTGAGATGCCCCTAAACAGTGTAGAAAGCAGACTATAAGAACTGGCCAAAGATGACCCATATAGCATCAATGAAGACACAAAACCACTCTATAGGGATGAAAAATGTACATCTTGTAAACATAATCCAAAAGATTCTAGCATCCACATCCATTCTGGAACCCATAGGAAAACAGAATGTTTAAAAATGAGAAATGTTCAGGGCTTGCCAGAGGAATCTAGACAAAATTATGAGACAGACCAATGCATATATGCAAATGAGATGGCTCCCTATTAAAAAATAGATAAACAGATGTAAGGATTTCTCCTTAGAAAGAGAGAGAGATTGGCTGGGGGCGGTGGCACACGTCTGTAATCCCAGCACTTTGGGAGGCCGAGGCGGGCAGATCACGAGGTCAGGAGATTGAGACTATCCGGGCCAACATGGTGAAACCCCATCTCTATTAAAAATACAAAAATTAGCTGGGCATGGTTGCTTGTGCCTGTAATCCCAGCTACTTGGGAGGCTGAGGCAGGAAGGAGAATCGTTTGAACCCAGGAGGTAGAGACTGCAGTGAGCAGACATGGCGCCACTGCACTCCAGCCTGGCAACAGAGCGAGACTCCTTCTGAAAAAAAAAAAAAAGAAAGAAAGAAACAGGGAGAGATTGATTATCAATTATCCGCAAGTTAGAGAGGAATTAAAATCAAGTATGGCCAATACACACTAAAACAGTAATCAGGAGTCTTCAACACACAGAAGATACACAATGCTGCAGGGCATGCTCTAAGGGGTAACAGAAAAAAAATTAAAGACCAAAAATTATACAGGATGGAAAAACAATGAGAAGCCCATGTATCAACCTCCTACACTCTACACCTGAGAGACTAAATCATGGTCCTGACCCTATCACCCTCACAGTCCAATTGGGGAGAGACATCAGCAGAAAAACATCTTTAATAATTGTTATGTCAGAGTAAACACATACTACTGAGGCAGCATATGCAAATACTGAAGGAGAGAGAAAGAGAGGCGGTCAGGTAAAACCTGCTGTGGATGTTACCTCTCACCTAAGCCCTAAATATTAGTCAGGATTAACCCAAAGAAAAGAAAAATGGAATGGGAAAAGGATAGGGTCCGCTAAGTAAACAAGAAAGAGCACTAGTTTAAGAGTCAGAACACCTGACTTCTAGTTCCATAAATTGTTTCGACAACACACCAACATGCCAAATACCGGGCAGACAGAATGAAGTAATAGTTTTTTGTTTTTTCTTTTTTTTTTCCCGAGATGGAGTCTTGCTCTGTCGCCCAGCCTGAAATATTAGAGTTCCTGAACTAAGACATTTGCAACAAGACTACTTCAGGTTCAGTCATTAGGTTGTGCCCTTGAAGGTTTGAAGGTATATTCTCATCAACCACTAATTTGTTAATAAATTGAGATGCCCCTAAACAGTGTAGAAAGCAGACTATAAGAACTGGCCAAAGATGACCCATATAGCATCAATGAAGACACAAAACCACTCTATAGGGATGAAAAATGTACATCTTGTAAACATAATCCAAAAGATTCTAGCATCCACATCCATTCTGGAACCCATAGGAAAACAGAATGTTTAAAAATGAGAAATGTTCAGGGCTTGCCAGAGGAATCTAGACAAAATTATGAGACAGACCAATGCATATATGCAAATGAGATGGCTCCCTATTAAAAAATAGATAAACAGATGTAAGGATTTCTCCTTAGAAAGAGAGAGAGATTGGCTGGGGGCGGTGGCACACGTCTGTAATCCCAGCACTTTGGGAGGCCGAGGCGGGCAGATCACGAGGTCAGGAGATTGAGACTATCCGGGCCAACATGGTGAAACCCCATCTCTATTAAAAATACAAAAATTAGCTGGGCATGGTTGCTTGTGCCTGTAATCCCAGCTACTTGGGAGGCTGAGGCAGGAAGGAGAATCGTTTGAACCCAGGAGGTAGAGACTGCAGTGAGCAGACATGGCGCCACTGCACTCCAGCCTGGCAACAGAGCGAGACTCCTTCTGAAAAAAAAAAAAAAAGAAAGAAAGAAACAGGGAGAGATTGATTATCAATTATCCGCAAGTTAGAGAGGAATTAAAATCAAGTATGGCCAATACACACTAAAACAGTAATCAGGAGTCTTCAACACACAGAAGATACACAATGCTGCAGGGCATGCTCTAAGGGGTAACAGAAAAAAAATTAAAGACCAAAAATTATACAGGATGGAAAAATAATGAGAAGCCCATGTATCAACCTCCTACACTCTACACCTGAGAGACTAAATCATGGTCCTGACCCTATCACCCTCACAGTCCAATTGGGGAGAGACATCAGCAGAAAAACATCTTTAATAATTGTTATGTCAGAGTAAACACATACTACTGAGGCAGCATATGCAAATACTGAAGGAGAGAGAAAGAGAGGCGGTCAGGTAAAACCTGCTGTGGATGTTACCTCTCACCTAAGCCCTAAATATTAGTCAGGATTAACCCAAAGAAAAGAAAAATGGAATGGGAAAAGGATAGGGTCCGCTAAGTAAACAAGAAAGAGCACTAGTTTAAGAGTCAGAACACCTGACTTCTAGTTCCATAAATTGTTTCGACAACACACCAACATGCCAAATACCGGGCAGACAGAATGAAGTAATAGTTTTTTGTTTTTTCTTTTTTTTTTCCCGAGATGGAGTCTTGCTCTGTCGCCCAGGCTGGAGTGCAGTGGCACGATCTCGGCTCACTGCAACCTCTGCCTCCCAGGTTCAAGCAATTATCCTGCCTCAGCCTCCCGAGTAGCTGGGATGACAGGCGCCCGCCACCACGTCCAGCTAATTTTTGTATTTTTAGTAGAGACGGGGTTTCATCATGTTGGCCAGGCTGGTCTCGAACCCCTGACCTCGTGATCCGCCCGCCTCGGCCTCCCAAAGTGCTGAGATTACAGGCATGTGAGCCACCGCGCCCGGTCAGTAAGTTATTTATATATCCTGGCACCTAACACATAGAGGCGCTAAGCAAGACACAGATAAATAATAGTAATAAAACAACTACAGTTTGCTTAGTCCTTCCTATGTGCTAAAGTGCTAAGAATAGCAGGCTAAACAATACAAGCCCTTGTCCTCAAGCAGAGTGTACTCGAGGAGACTACAGATAAGTATACAACCCTGTTGAAGATACTGAGACCTAGGATCATAATTTATTCCGTTAATAAGAGAGGAAATGGTGATTTAAACCATAATTTGATTGACTTAAAATTCTGAGACCCTCATCAAGAGAATAGGTTGGAGGGAGGAAGAAATAGGGGGTAAAGAAGTAACAATAATCCTCAAACCAAACTCCCTAATGGTCAATTAAACGGAGTCTTCCGGTGAGGCACAGAGGAAGAACTCCTCATATGGGATCAGCAGGTGCTCGATTTGGGGTGTGGTTATAACCTTTACTTCCCTTCCTACTAGTCCCTTGCTTTGCCTACTCCAACCTGGTCCAGTAACCCAGCAGCCCCCACCCGCCTTGGAGGAATCGATGGAGCACCTTTGAGTGCGCGAGCGGCCGCTCTCCGGGTACGGAGCCCGGAGCGTTAGCCTCCCGCGAGTATCGGCGAGCGGCTCCCGAACTGCCATGGACGCCAGGCCGCTGGGGCGTGCCGCAGCCGCAAGAACCCGCAAGGGACCCCGCGACCGCACTGGTCCCGGCCTCCTCGCTCCCTGCCGCTCCACACAGCAGCGAGAGCAGCAGCAGCAAGAGGACGCGACCCGACTCAGGGTAGCGTCCACAAACCAGCCCTAGTGCGGGCGCAGCCATGTTGTCCCGCGAGCCATGTGACCCGGTGGGTCACGTGGCTGAGCCCTCCTTAAAGGGGCAGAATTTTGAGATGACACGAAGTGGCCAGGAGAGTTGTTCTTCACTTTTAATTAGGTTCTTTTTTGGCGCTCCTGCTTGCCTGTGCTGACGTCAAAACGCAGCAAAACACAAAACTCAAGGCCTTCCACAGACCGTGCACCCCTTTATGATTTCTTGGTTGAAAAATGACAATCAAATTTGTTGGGCATTTGCTAAGTGCCAGAGTACTATGCTAAGCACTTCACTTTTTAAAATCTCATTTCATCCTCACAAAGACCCTGTAATATTGTGTTCACAGAACAGTGAAGTGACTTGCCCAACATCATGACATAAATATCAAAAGCAAGATTTAAATGCAGGGAATCTAACTTTAAACCCTGAGTTTTAACCATTATCTTGTACTGCAGACAATTAAATAAGTTCCTCCTAACAAGAAATAGAGAGGAAAATGAACATGTGTAAGGATACTTTACCAAGGGATAAGGAAATCCAGACTGTGGAATATGCAAAACAATGGTTCTCAAAGTGTCCTTCCTGAGTGCAGTATTGGCATCACCTGGGAAAGTGTTAGAAATGCAATATGGAGGTGGGGCATGGTGGCTCACTCCTGCAATCCCAGCACTTTGGGAGGCCGAGGCAGGCGGATCATGAGGTCAGGAGATCAGACCATCCTTGCTAACATGGTGAAACCCCTATCTCTACTAAAAATACAAAAAATTAGCCAGGCATGGTGGGGCGCACCAGTAGTCCCAGCTACTTGGGAGGCCAAGGCAGGAGAATCGCTTGAACCCGGGAGGCGGAGGTTGCAGTGAGCCCAGATCAGGCCACTGCACTACAGCCTGGGCAACAGAGCAAGACTCTGTCTCAAAAAAAAAAAAAAATGCAATACGGAATCAGAATCCCTGGGGACTGGACACAGCAATCCCGGGTTTCACAAGCTCTCCAGATGATTCTAATGCACACTTAAGTTTAAGAACCACTGTTCTACAGTTTCGTAAGCGAACAAAATGCAAAAACAAAACAAAAAGAAGATTAAGGAAAAACTTACAGATTAAAAAATAACATAGCAGACCGGGCGTGGTGGCTCACGCCTGTAATCCCAGCACTTTGGGAGGCTGAGGCAGGCAGATCACGAGATCACGAGATTGAGACCATCCTGGCTAACACGGTGTCTCAAGAAAACAAACAAACAAAAATAGCAGCCAACTGCAATATATGAACCTTATCTAAATACTAATTCACATCTACTGATTTCAAAAATTTTGAGATCATCAGGGACTTTTGACCACTAAGTCCAATTATGATATTTGATAAAATTAAGGAATTGCTGTAAATTTTGTTTTTATGCTTTTAGGAGTAATAATGGTATTTGTGGCTATGTTTTTTAAGATAATCCCCTCATTGAGGTATATACATGGATAAAAATATAGGCAGTCAAAGATTTGCTTCCCAAAAAAATGGGTAATTAGGGTCTGGCTAAAGATGAAGCATGATTGGCCATGAGTTGATAACTGGTCATAGCTGGTTGATACGTGTCTGGGTATTTATTGCACTATTCTAATGTAGTATATGTTTGAATTTTTTTAGCATAAAGAGAAGACCAGCCAGTCACTGTGGCTCATGCCTGTAATCCCAGCAATTTAGGAGGCCGAAGCAGGAGAATCACTAGAGACCAGGAGCTTGAGGCCAACCTGGGCAACATAGCAAGACCTTGTCTCTACAAAAAATTAAGAAAATTAGCTGGCCATGGTGATGCAAACCTGTGGTCCCAGCTACTTTGGAGGCTGAGGCAGGAGGATCACTTGAGCCTGGTAGGTGGAGGCTGCAATGAGCCATAATTGTGCCACTGCGCTCCAGCCTGGGTGATAAAATGAGACCCTGTCTCAAAAAGGAAAAGGAAAGAAAAGACCCTTTCTCCTTGTTGACTATTTTACAGTTTGCCAAGGCCTTTCACACATTTTCTCATTTGAGATTACAACCACTTGGCAAGAAATGTATTATTACTATACCCATTTCAAAATTGATGAAGCTAAAAAGTCAATGTCTTAACCAAGGTTGTATGTATTTACTGTGCATAATATATAGTCAAGGTCTAGGTCAACGGTAATCTTTGTTCGCCTCCTTCAAATGTCATTCTCAGCACATGCTGTGTCATCTGCGCTTCAGAGACCTGAACTTCATTGATTCACGGTCCAGCTACACCATTAGGCAATAACCTCCATGAAGGTAAGGCTCCTGCCTATTCATTTGCGACTGTATCAGCAAAATCAGGCCAAGCCTGGCACATGAACACTCAAACACTCAGTGTGAACATTTATTAAATTATGGATAAGTGAATGCATGAATGAAGTAATGATTAGCTCTTTCTCTTAAGGGGAAGCAAATCGTGGAGAAAATAATATAGGTCTTAGACTCAGAAAGAGCTGTGGTTAAAGCTGGCCACTACATGAAGTATGACCTAGGCAAATTATTTCACCTTTCTGAGCCTCTATTTCTTCATGTGTAGGAAAGGGAATTTCACAATGGGAATAATAATTCCTTTTTCTTAGAGATTTCATAGGGATTAAATAAGACAAAGTATGTAAAAGGCTTACCTTGGTGCCTGACATTTAGCATATCTCAAAAATAAGTTTGCTATTACTAATCATTATCAAAGATGGAACTTTGTTCGTTCTCCAGGAAGATCATTCTTTTGTCTCAGTCTAACTTTTTAGTCACTAATCAATGAGTATGTGGAAAATATTGATGAGAGAAACACTGATGAGAGGTTTCTCTCATCAATATTTTCCACACTAACATTTTCCTCCTCTCAGTGAGGATGCTTGTTCTAAAAATTAAGAGTTAAAAAGTCCAACTCTGTCATTGGCTCTGTATAAATTAGTGTAATTATATAAAATATCTCCCACCCTCTATCTCTCGTTTGAGCTCCTTCTGCATTTTGTAGCCTTTCTTGTTTCTTCTATCTCATGAAGCTGGATGAAAGACCCCAGTCCTGAAAGCACCTTGTCTGCTCACTGAACATCAAAGAGGTCAGCATGGCTACAGTGGAGTGAGCAAGCGGGAGAGAAAAAAAGAAAGGAGATCAGAAAGGTAACATTGGGCCAGGTTATGGAGGATCTGGTAAGCTTTTACTGTGAAAGTTGGTGCCATTGCAGTTTTGAGAAGACACCTGACACTCTTCCTGCTGAGCAGTATCAATTTTCCTTCCAGGTTAGAGGCTTCTCTTGCTTTCTGGTTCCTGAACACGGGGAATGCAAAGTGCCCTGATGGTAGCCATGGCTTGTAGTTCAATGAGATCCTTGTTGTATCCACAGAAAGAGAGCATCCCATTGGGGATCAGGACCTCCAACTCTGCAGAGCTCAGAGTCGCAGGGATGGGAGAAAAAAAATCCCAGTGAGTCAGTAGGAGTAATAGTAAGTGGGGCTACTTCTACTTCTACCCCTTGGTTCCTGAACCTGTATGTTCTTCCTACGTGAGGACACGTCTGACATCTCTAATTGAGTGCATATACTGCATCCTTATAGATGGCCCCATCTTTGCAGGAAATTGCATCCAAGCTGGCATTTCAGCTGTGCCTTCAGTAAGTCATTTTCACCCTTTATGAGGCCAGCTGCTTTGGGTTCATATTGTATGAGATAATACCATTGGATTCCATGATCATGGCCTACCCCTGCACCTCCTTCACTGTGAAGTGGGTCCCCTGGTCAGATGCCATGTGGTGTAGGAATATATGCCTGTGCATAAGGCATTCTGAGAGCCCTCAGACAGTGATGCTGCCTGAGGCTCTTGGAGTAGGAAAGGCACAGGTCAAAATGTTATCTACTTTGCATGTGAAGGACAGTTGGCTCCACTTTTTGGGTGTGATGAATAATGTTGATATGAACATTCATTTACAAGTTTTTGTTTGCAAATGTTTTCATTTGTCTTCATAGATACTAGAAGTGGGATTGCTGGGTCATATGGAAACTCTAACCTTTTGGGTTTTTTTGTTGCTGTTGTTGTTTATTTAAAAAAAAAACAAAAAACAAATAAACAGGATCTTGCCCTGCTACTAGGCAGGAATGCAGTGACATGATCACAGCTCACTGCAGCCTCAACCTCCTGGGCTTGAGAAATCCTCCTACCTCAGCCTCCAGAGTAACTGGGATCATAGGCTGCTACCACGCCCAGGTCAGTTTATTATTTTTTTGTAAAGATGAGGTCTCACTGTGTTGCCTAGGCTGGTCCTGAACTCCTGGCCTCAAGTGGTCCTCCTGACTTGGCCTTCCAAAGTGCTGGAATTATAGGTGTGAGCCACCACTCTTGGCCTTGTTTAACCTTCTGAGGAATTGCCAGACTTTTCCAAAGTGGCTGCACCATTTTACATTCCCACTAACAATGTACGAGGCATCCAATTTCTCCATGACGTAGTTAATTCTTCCACTTCCTTTAGAGTAAAATCTCTTCTCCTTTATCAGGCCCAGCCTACCCTCAGCCAGGTTATACTGAAACTTGACCCTGGTTATAACCCGGCAGCCACAAGAGGATGTGGAGGCACTTTCTTGGGGTTGGGAGGCTGTTGTTTTTTCAAAAAAAAAAAAAAAGCTCTGGTATATGCAGTATTTTCCCCATGTGGAAACTACTGGTTCTCGACAGGGAGGCTACCTCTGCAAGCTCCCTCCGGGGTCCCAAAGGAGTCTGCAGAGCCACATTTCACAGGGCCATCCATCTAGATGTCGCTGCCTCACTTTTCAGGGTCCAGGCCCCATGTTTTTCAAACCAGATTCCTGACTTTAGCATAGGAAACTACTTCGGCTGAGCATCCAAACATCTGTAGAGCTCTGGGTTCTGACAGTTAGATCATCAGCCTGCCGCTCGGCTGGGCCTGCTCTTGCACAGCAGGAGAAGAAGACTTCTTTGCAAGCTACCAAAGAGGCCCTCTGGCTCTCACACTTGGTTCTCAACTGTTTATTAACTGCTTTCAGTTTCTCATTATCCCTTGTAGGAGGGTCAGTGCA